AGGAGAGGCTATGAGACCTGAACCTGTTCAGCCTCCATAAGAGAAGGCTGAGAGTGGATCTGGTGGCCGTCTATAAACTGGCCAAGGGAGACCAGCAGGCAATGGGAGAGTCCTTGTTCCCCCGAGCACTACCGAGAGTAACAAGGAATAACGGCCATAAGTTGATGGAGAGTAGATTCAGGCTAGATATCAGGAGGCACTACTTCACAGTCAGGGTGACTAGGATCTGGAACCAACTTCCAAGGGAAGTGGTGCTCACTCTTACCCTGGGGGTCTTCAAAAGGAGACTGGATAGACACCTTGCCAGGGTCGTTTGACCCCAGCATTCTTTCCTGCGCATTCTTTCCGGCAGGGGGTTGGACTTGATGACCCGCTCAAGTCCCTTCCAACCCTACCAACTATGAAACAGAAATAGTCCCTGCCTGTTTTCTTGCCACTGTCAGCTGCTCACCTCCTCCCCAAACTGTGCTGCCAGGTGCAATCATCTAGGAGCTGACCTGGCTTGTGAAGACTGTGAAAAGGCAAAGAGCTTTTCAGCCTTTTCCACATCATTTGTCACTAGGTTGCCTCTTCCATTCAGTGAGGGTCCCACACTTACCCTGATATTCCTCTTGTTGCTGACATATTTGTGGAAACCCTTCTTCTTACCCTTCACGTCCCTTGCTAGCTGCAACTCCAGTTGTGCTTTGGCCTTCCTGATTTCATCCCTGCATGCCCAAGCAATACTTTTATACTTCTCCCTAGTCATTTGTCCAAGATTACATTTCTTGTAAGCTTGCTTTTAGCGTTTTGGCTCACTAACGAGTTTTATGCTAAACTAAACTGGTGTTCTGCCATATTTGCTAGTCTTTTGCACATTGGAATGGTTTGTTCCTGTGCCCTCAGTAGGCGCTTCTTTAAAATACAACTAGCTCTCCTGGATAGCTTTTTAACCTTCAAACTGACCTCCCAGAGGATCCTGGTTATCTGTTCCTTGAGTGAGTTGAAGTCTGCTTTTCTGAAGTCCAGGATCCTTACTCTGCTGCTTTCCTTCCTTCCTTTCCTCAGGATCCTGAACTCATTCATCTTGTGCTTACTGCTGCCAAGTTGCCATCTACTTCTACATTCCCCACCAATTCTTCCCTGTTTGTGAGCACCAGGTCAAGAAGAGTCTGTCTGCAAAGATTCTTTTCCTTCTCTTTGTCAGGTGGCTCCCATCTCTTCTCATCCTTTCCTAGCAATCCTTCTTCTTCCCTGTGCAGCCATACATTGATCTGCAGCAGGCATCCACCTCTGTCCAGGCCCTTCCCCTTAACTGGAAGGATTGAGGGAAACACCACCTGAGCCCCTATACCCTTCACCCTTGTATCCAAAGCCCACGGGATGCCTGGCCTGGCCTCTTCCACCAGCAGAATATGCTCATGCTCCTCCTCCTTGTTGCTAGGGCTCCATATCTGTTCTATAGGCAAACTGCTGCAGGTGGGGATGAAGACCTCTGCTCACTGCCAGAGGTTACAAGCTTCCAGCCTCCACCTTCCTGGGAGTCTGTCCTCTTCCTTCTCTAGGGTTACCTCTGGCAGTTCTTGCTCTGCTGTCCTAGCAGTCTCCTCCAGCATCAAACCAATTAACTCCTCATGACTGAGGATGCTTGGGAGCCTTGCCACCTCCTCTTGTAGCTCTCTTGCCCACAAGGGGCACCACCAAGAGGCACCATTCACGTTGTAGGCACTTCCTCACCTGACTGTCACTGGAAGGAACCTTCAAGCCGTAGTCTTCACAGTGCCAAACGAGGACTTGGGTGGAAGTCTCAATAGTGAGCAGTCCTGCCTGGACAGGCACCCTACAGATGCAAGCAGAGGAAGAGCTAGCAGTGGCAGTGGTTCTGGAATTGCAACACCCTCTAGCCATTTCTCTGGGCCTCTCTCCACCACTTATGTCTTCTTGCCCCTCTCTCCAAACAGAATTTTCCTCGCAAACTCACTTGTAAGGTGAACTGTTTGCTGCTACTTGGTCCCAAAAGGTTCCCTTTTCCCTGCTAACCTGCCTCCTCTCACCAAGCTTACAGTGAAGGAAGGTGAAAGGGGGTGGACATTATTCTGTCTACGGTAAGCAGATAATGTTTCTATTGAGGTTTCCAACTCAGATGTAGCAGTGATGCATATAGTTTAAATTGGTGATAAGGACCAACTAATTTAAAAAAAAAGATGCGAGTTCCAAAATAGCTTTATTTACTTTACTTTGACACTAAGTGGTACAGCAAACGTCAAGAAGAAGGATAGTGTATGTGTTTCAGGTACTTAAACTAAGAGAAGTAGTCCATCATTGGATCACATGGAGAACAACAAGGGTGATGTTATGGTGGGTGTTTGCTATAGACCGCCAGACCAGGAGGAAGAGGTGGGTGAGCTATTTTTTCAAACAGCCAATGGAAGTTTCCCAATCACAGGTCCTGTTTCTCATGGGAGACTTTGATCACCCAGACATCTCCTGGCAGGGCAATACAGCAGTACACAGGCAATGCAGAAAGTTTTTGGAGAGTGCTGGGGATAACTTCCTGGTGCAAGTGTTGGAGAGGCCAACTAGGCTCTGTTTAGGAAGGACAGGCAGAGGAGAAAAGGAGGAAGAGTTGTGCTTTATGCAAAAGAGCTGTATGATTGCTCAGAGCTCCAATATGAAACTGAAGACGAGTCTATTGAAAGTCTCTTGGTTAGGGTCAGAGAGGAGGGCTACAAGGGTCATGTCATGGTGGGTGTCTTCTATACACCATCAGACCAGGAGAAGGAGGTGGATGAGACTTTCTTCAGCCAGGTAGTAGAAGTTTCCAGAGCACAAGCCCTTGTTTTCATGAGAAACTTCAAATGTAATATACTCTGTGAATTGAATGTAATGTGAATGTATAGCAGCAGGGGGAGCAGCCCTGCAGAACCCTGCTGGCTGTAATTTGAACTAGAGCTCCCAGAAGCTCAGGAGGAGGAAGTGGCTAAGCGAATCTGGTGCACAGATGTGAGAGGAAGAGGGAAGCAAGATGGAAATAGGACGCAGTGGACAGAAAGCCACCAGGCAACAGGGTGAACAAGTGTCACCCTTGACTTGGAAACCTTGCAGAGTGACTCAG